TTTTTTCCTTTTTTTCCCAAATTTTCCCCCAATTTTTCCCATTTTTTCCCATTTTTCCCCATTTTTTTCCAGATTTTTCCCATTTTTTCTCAGATTTTTTCCTTTTTTTCCCATTTTTTCCACACTTTTCCCAATTTTTCCTATTTTCCTCATTTTTCCCAGTTTATTCCAGATTTTTCCCATTTTTCCCCAATTTTTTCCCATTTTTTCCAGATTTTTTCCATTTTTTCCCATTTTTCTCTTATTTTTCCCATTTTTTTCCCATTTTTCCTCCTTTTTCCCATTTTTTCCCCAATTTTTCCCAATTTTTCCCAATTTTTCCCCATTTTTCCCAATTTTTTCCCAATTTTTCCCAATTTTTCCCCAAAATTTTTCCCAATTTTTCCCCCATTTTTCCCATTTTTTCCCAATTTTTCCCCATTTTTTCCCAATTTTTTCCCATTTTTCCCCCATTTCCCCCCAATTTTTCCCATTTTTTCCCAATTTTCCCCATTTTTCCCAGTTTTCCTGGAATTCTGGGATTTCTCTCCCGTTTTTTTTGGAATTCCGGGATTTCTCTCCCGTTTTTTTTGGAATTCCGGGATTTCCCTCCCGTTTTTTTTGGAATTCCGGGATTTCCCTCCCGTTTTTCCAGGAATTCCGGGATTTCTCTCCCGTTTTTCCAGGAATTCCGGGATTTCTCTCCCATTTTTCCGGGAATTCCGGGATTTCCCTCCCATTTTCCGGGAATTCCGGGATTTCCCTCCCGTTTTCCCGGGAATTCTGGGATTTCTCTCCCGTTTTTCCAGAATTCCGGGATTTCCCTCCCGTTTTCCCAGGAATTCCAGGATTTCCCTCCCATTTTCCCGGAATTCCGGGATTTCTCTCCCGTTTTTTTTGGAATTCCGGGATTTCTCTCCCGTTTTCCCGGGAATTCCGGGATTTCTCTCCCGTTTTCCAGGAATTCCGGGATTTCCCTCCCGTTTTTTTTGGCATTCCGGGATTTCCCTCCCGTTTTTCCCGGAATTCCGGGATTTCTCTCCCGTTTTTCCGCACCCGAAGGGTCTCTCCTGCCCGGGGGGGGGATCCCGGGAGCAGCTCCAGGAGCTCAAAACCTGCGGGAAGAGACGGCCCAGGAGGGACCCCCAGCGCACCAGACGGGCTCCGCACCTGCAATTCCCAAAAAATCCCGTCGGAATTCCCGGAATTCCCGGAATTCCGGCGAAATTCCCCAAAAAATCCGCCCGGAAATGCCCAAAATCCGCCCGAAATTCACCGAAATCCCCAAAATTCCACCCCAAAATCCCCCCCAAGGAGGGACCAGACGGGCCCCAAACCTGGAATTCCCAAAAATTCCATCGGAATTCCCGAAATTCCATTGGAATTCCCGAAATTCCGTTGAAATTCCCGAAAAAATCCACCCAGAAATGCCCAAAATCCGCCCAAAATCCCAAAAATTCCCCCCCAAATTCCCCCCCAGACGAGCCCCACCCTCGGAATTCCCAAAAATTCCATCGGAATTCCCCAAAATTCCGTCGGAATTCCCAAAAATTCCGTCGGAATTCCCAAAAATTCCATCGGAATTCCCGAAATTCCGGTGAAATTCCCGAAAAAATCCGCCCGGAAATGGCCCAAAAATCCCACCTGGA